ATATTTGATCTCTGATCTATGGCTAACTCTGCCCTCCATATTTCATATCGATCGTGCCTCCTCCTCTACCACCATCCTTCTACACAGATGACGAATATCTCATTACGTTACCGCGTTTATTCCTTCATCAAGGAACGTTTGATTACATTTCACGTCCCATTCATAAATGAAAACGAATTTAATCTCCTAGCTATAAATATTTCCACGTTTTTCACCTTTTTTAAAAATGCACAACTTAATTCCATTTTCTGGAATTTTAAAAATTTACGCACCATCGCTGTTGCGACGGTGGAGAGAAAAAGAATATCGCGAAATATTTCATAAATACGCTTTTTTTCCCCCCGCGGACCGTTTTCTCTCCGTTTAGCCACCGCCTCGACAATTTAATTAATCTCGCGATTTCTGTTCCGGGAATCGATCTGCCCTCTTTTTTATTTACCCGCCTAAATTATCGATCCCAATCAAAATCGAATCGATACGCGACAATATTTACTCGTCAGTCAGGTATTCCTCGATATTCCCGTGAAATTAGATACTAGTTTACTCGCACACTTACGGGTAGCGGCGCGTGTCACCCGCATAATTCCGATACACAACATAATCGATACGGTACTAATAGGTTCAAGAGTTAAGTGAGATCGAGTATGTACGCGAAGCTAGTCCCCTCTTTGACCAAATTCACGTGACGCTGGTTACGGGGTTGATTTCAATTTAAACTTCGACTTTGACGTGTCCCAGGGCTTGACGTACTTTCGAAGATTGCCCTCGCTAATTCAATTTTCTTACGCGTTATGGGGGGAGGGAGGAGGAGGAGGAGGAGGAGGAGGCTGGGCTCGTGGATGCGCCGAACGGACGGGCTCCGATGGCGAGAGAAACCATCATCTCGAGTCGTCAACTTTCCCAATTGTAATTTCAATCCGATCTCATCCAAATAAAGTTTTTCAATTCAAGGGAGCTAAGCTGTTTTCTTCGCAACGAGAATAAGCTTCGAATCAGCTTCGCTTCTCTCGAATCTTTGCCTCACGACGCGGACACAACGAATTTCATAACGCGTTACACGATCCGCGTATCACGTTGTTCAACTTATAATCGATCGTATTATCGTACAAATTCTCCCCGTTTCCAACTTGGAACGCTTATGATGCGTGTTCCTCGAAATTGGCACCCTTGAATTGGCGATAAATTCAATTATATACATTGAATTCCTGGATGGAAGGTTTGCAGATCCTCGAATGGGAGCGGATCTCGAGTGTCTACGCTACGATATCGATTATTATCGAGCGACTCGACCGTTAATCGACGATGCGGTTATACCAGGAAACAATATTCGGATGACGACGCGATTACGGACAAGCGAGCAACCGGACGTGTAACTCTACGAACTCTGTGCGTAAATTCGTGAAAATGGGAACTAGGGAACGGGGAAAGGGGAAGATGGTGGAACCACGATGAATGAATTATAATTAATAGAAAAATTCCGTTTTCATTAACTTCGATCAGAGATATCGATACGCTCGTAGAAACATCGATGACGGTAAATCGTTGGAAAACGAAGAATACAATTCGTGCAAAAAACGAGAAAGAATGGGAAAGAGAGCACGATCGAGGGAGGAAGGAAAACCAGCAAACAGATAGCAAACAGCTATCACGGGGGTTGAGGGATCCATGGGGTGTCCCTGTAAGAAAAGTGTCTCTCTTCCACGAAGGAATAGGGGAAACGTTAGGGTTTTCATTGGAATCTGACGATGCCTGCGGGAGCTTACTACCCCGGGATTACCAGAGACAGTTGGAAATCCGATCAAAACAAATGGACTGCGAAAATACTCCCTCCCTCCCTCTCTCTCTCTCTCTCTCTCTCGTTATTACCTCCGAGTCCCTCGCCCACTCTTCTCGTTCCACCACACGGAATCATTTAGAATCAGTCGTTTGCTCGAAGACTGTTACAAACCGAGTTGAAACTCGCCTCCAACTCGCAGATTTTCGCCACGAGAGGGGACGATCGATCGCGCAATTCGACCGATAGGATAGGAGGAATCCGTTGATCGCCAAGTAACGAGCAACGCTGATTTCTTCGCCCTCCCTCCCTTCTTCTAAATCGCAAAAGCCTCTCTCCCGTGCCCAAACGGCGTTCAGGTGGCGTTTTGAGGGGTTAATAAACGGGGGAGAGAACTCGTCTCGGGGGTAGTTTCGGACAGCGTGGAGCGTCGATTGCCACGGGGACGAAGGGAGTCGAGCCATAACCACGTAACAGACGGATTCGAGGCGTTCTCCCACGTGGAATTTAAACCGAACATCGAGAACGCGTCTCATTTCCCCAAAGGCGAGGGATCGACAAGAGAAATTAGCGAAGAAGGGACCGATTATTTATTTCCATCGAGACGATGGACGAAGAAGAATAAAGAACACGTCGTTTGAAATTATCGTCGAGTATCCGCACACCGGTGACAGGGAAGAGGGAAGAATCGCGGATTAACCTGGAAAAGTCACGATTAGAAGGGTTCCATCTATTCCGTGAGGAGGTGAGAGGAGGGTGTGGGATAAAATATTTAGTCGGGGATGAAAAATCCGCGATACGTGGCGACTTGAAACGAGCGAGAACGGGTCGGGCAAAATAGACTCCATAAATCTTCTTAAACGCGTCGGCGGAATTATTTGCGGGATAGGGGTGTCGTGGATGTAAATTGGCCGGCTTCGACTTCCTGCCGGCGCCGGAAGTCGTGATAACATCGATGTACAGGGGCAAGTGGCATGAAAATCGGTAGCTGCTTACGCCATCGTTCGCGCGTACCATCGCTTTTTCATCCGCGCGTCCGAAACTCAATTGTGCCCTCCATCTCTCGCTCTCTCTTTCTCCGAAAACGAAAAAAGTAAAAGGAAAGGGAGGGAAAATAGACGAAACAACGGAATAAAAAATAGACTGGTGGGGACAAAAAGGAGAATACGAGGGGGGAAAAACGAGCGCGTATCCTCCTCGTCGAGGAGGATATTCGATCGTTTATCGTTCGATTCGACGGCAACGACCAATCCAATTCATTCCCTCTGGTTGAATACATTGCAAATATAATAGATACCGGATTATAGGGAAATTTTTTTTTCGCGAGCCGAGCCAGGCAGGGATTATTGTTTCATAACGGGTTTCGTGAATTTTTTCCGCCCTTTGTTTCCCACGATGCGATTCGACGAAAATTGGGGTCACTCTTGAGCCTATCGCGTAACCAAACGATAGATCCTATCACAGGTAATATCACAGAGAAAATCGTAGTGACCGTCGAGGCTGTTGGCTCTTCTTTTTTCGAATCGATCGCGTTATCCGACGATCGGTGTTATCTTCGAATGCGTTCGAATATACCGTTGTATCGACTGTTAATTAACCGAGCAATATTATCGAAAAGAATCGCGATACGTGTCCGTGATGAGATCCCAGAACAATGGATCAACAGAGCTATTTCTTTCGCGTTGTTCGAATCCCATGATTTTTTTTCGGCTGCCGAGTTATTCGATAATACGAAGAAATATTTCAAACTTTCGACAGTTCATTTTCCGTTTCGTTTTCTCAATGACGAACGAGGTTTTTAATCGCGACATTCCATTGAAACGGTGCGAATATGGAAATGATCTAGATACGACGTTAAACCGGCAAAGTGGGGAAGGATATATATATATACACATGGTCCGATTTATGCAACGTATGTAATCCAGGAGCTCTTGTAATATTTGTAATTGACATTCATAACGTTAAAAAACACACACACGTTTTGTTTATACGATCTCCATATATAACTTTGATATTTCGTTTACACGAAAATTGCACGTATTCGGTTTACATTTCAATATTGAGCTCGATACACTTTNAAAAAAAAAAAATATTCAATCGCGAGTGAAAATTTATTATCACGATTAAACGCGTCGTCGAGCCGTTCGAGAAATCCCTAACAATTTTTTCCATACCTCCGTTCTTATTCCGCGACGATGAGCCATAAACCACTTTGCACCTGCAATTCCTCGTCACACCGTGCACGTATTCCCATGCGTCGTGCCCTATTGCGCCAGCACACGCAGTCGCCACCACAATCATCAATCAGGCCAGGTCGTGGATCGATAAACTATCAGGGGCATCCAATCGGAAAATCCAATTGTGAGGGGATGGATCGAAAATAAAAACCAAGCGTTCCTCGTTACAGAAATATCGTGACTTTGATTAAGTCGATCTTCTTCCCGTTTCATGGGAACGAACAAACGATATCGTACGCTTCTATCGTACGTAAAAATTCTATCACCACGTACAGATATATACTTGTATAATCGTAACATTATACCCTATTCCAGATCCTCGACCCTTCCATCCCTCAAAGTCTTCCCTCTTGTCCCGTTTCTTTCTTTCTATTCGTCCACCTATATCCATCCTTTCGTCCAAGAAACCAACCATTAGTTCATGCTATCCTGTTCGAAGCGTCCCGTTCGATCGTTCGAAGGGCTGAAACGTCGCGACGTCCACGGCGCAGCACCCTCGCTGCTCGATCAGAGAGGGGTCGCGACGAATCAGACGGTGGAAAGTAAAAATGTTTCGATTTTTGTTTCGCACGAGGGTTTGTGCATCGAAACCGTATCTTCTTTTTTTTTTTTTTTTTTTTTATTTATTTATTTTTCCACCGGTATGGAAAAATTCATAGATTTATTTTTCGTTCGTTTTTTTTAGAAATTCGAAAGCTATTCTTATTCGATGTTTTTTTTTGCATTAAATTTTTAGCCGAAAAAAAAATGTGGTACGATGATACGTTGTTCGAACCGGTGATATAAAAAAAAAATCGAAAAAAGAAAAAAAAATTAGAGGTAGATAAAAGCTATGCACAGATCTGTACACTGTACTCTATGTTTCGTTTGACGAAACTTTTTTTTTTTAACGAAACCTGTGCGATATTGCGTTATTTTTTTTTTTTTTTTTTTTTTTTTACATTAAAAACGCAGAATTTGCAAATTTACGATTTTTTTTTTTATCTCAGGTCTTGGGATTCAAGGACACGTATATATGGCTCAAAGATGACAAGGGTGGACAGCAAAAGAGGGGTGGAATTCGTTCAACGAAAGCGCTAAATTCAAGCAGCAAGGTAACAAAAGCTCGACGTTAAAAATTCTTTTCAATCTACAAGGATTCCACTTCACTGACACGATTCTTCTGCTTCGAAGATCATTTGGGCGGATCAGCAGAAGACGATCAAGCGACATAAACGCGATTATGTGCCACTATCTAGCCTCGATTCGGAGAAACCTCTGATAAGGGAGAAGAGGTTGGAGGTAGATCAGTACCGGTTGAATAGTATAAAGGAGGGCGACGACGGCGAAGATTGGCAAGAATTTCGAATGGAAGATCCCCAGGACTCCAGATTGATGTTCAATGACGAACTTTGGGATCAAGAATGGTATCTGGTAATGAAATAAAATGTTCTTGTAAAAAAATATTACGAAACGTTTGGAATAAATATAATACTTAAAAAATAAATAAATGAATAATTGGAAAAGGGAAGGCAGAAGGAAAATCAATATGAAATCTGATCAATAAATAAAGTCGTTGGTAAAATGGATGAGTTATCTTACGTGATAAAAAGATAAAGCTTCTTTATCAACCGTTGCAGAGAGATACCAGATCGAACAAAGCTCTCCCCAAGCTGGATCTAAACGTTCTACCCCTCTATCGACTGGGGATAACTGGTCGAGGCGTGAGAATAGCTGTTCTGGACGATGGGTTGGAATATACCCACGACGATTTGCGAAATAACTACGTGAGTAATAACACGAAATTTTACTTCGAGGTACGTTTTGCATCCTACAGATGACAGGAATCATGATTCAAGATCGCATCCTTGAATTTTTTTCAAAATCTTTCACTTTTCTTCTTTTCTAATTTTCCCATTTCTTCGATTTAATATTTAATTTTCTCGTGAATTTATAATCTTCTTGTTTCTATTAATCCAGGATCCTGATATCAGTTATGATGTGAACGAGGGTGACGACGATCCTTTTCCACGATACGAATTGTCAGGTAAGAGTTTAAAAATTGTTAAAGTAAATTTCGATTTACCAATTATTCTATCGACAAATATATTATCCTCGAGTAATATTCTTGGATTAAAACGACGAATTTAAAAAAATGAAAAGAAAATAAAATTTATATACTTTTTTAATCATCTAGTACATAGACCGAAAATTAATTCGATCAAGATAGTTTACCCAGATTTACTTCGTTTCGCGTTGAAGTATTTCCAAGACATCGTTCTTCGTATAATATAGAAATTGTTTCACTGATAAGCGAACTTCAAAACTATTGACGGACAAGCTGTGCATAGTTACATTATTACTTCGAAGATGTGGAAAATTAGTTTAAAACTTGACTCGTTCCATAACGTTCTCCCAAAACTCCATGATTGCACAGGATATCGGGATATTATTGACATATTTATATGACATATTTATATTAATATCAGACTATTCTCGTTATCGTCTCAATCAAAATTAAAAACTTTCCGAGATTTTACTCACGAGATACTCTTGACATCACATTCGCGCAAAACAATCATCTTCCGTTTCTTTTTCTTCCACTTCGTTCAATCCTCTTGATTCAATTTCCCTGATCGAACATATTGCTTTTAAATTCACTTGTACGACTATCACTCGCTTATCGATCACTTTGTCCAAAATTGTAAAAATAACCATCTTCCGATTCTCCAACATAAACTTTCCTTTTTTTCCAACGAATCCACGAAATCTGGATGATTCCTCCCACGAATTTTCCTCGTTCAATTTTCCCGATTCGATCCATGTTACTTTTTCACGTATTATTACAAACTTGCATCGATACGTCAATGATAAACTTTGGAAGAGTTTCTTCGAACGTTCAACAAAAATCACGAATCCTCTCCGCTCCATGTTTCCCCGATCGAACAATATTATTTTCTCACGTATCGCGAGCGATTCAACCGTTTGCAGGAATGAACGGTCACGGGACGAGATGCGGTGGGGAAATAGCGATGGAGGCGAACAATCACAAGTGCGGCGTGGGCGTTGCTTTCGAGTCCTCGATCGGTGGTATCAAGCTTCTCGACGGTTTGGTCAACGATCGCGTGGAGGGAGAGGCCCTCGGGTACAAACCAGAATTGGTGGACGTTTACACGGCCTCGTGGGGGCCTGCCGACGATGGGAAAAGTTTGGAGGCACCTGGAAGACTGGCGAGGGAGGCGCTCCAACGTGGTATCGAGATGGCGAGTACAAGGGATTCGAAAGATGGAACGCTTTAAAAACGCGTTGAAACGTTTCGTTTAATTCGGTTGGACGCGAGTTAACGAGCGGCGATGATCTCGCTTTGAGTCGCTTTCGACATGGGTCAAGAGTTTCTAATTACTTGAAACGTTAATTACTTTGAAACCAACGGAGTTCCGTTAACCTCGTTAGTTCATATAATATTTCCGCCCACGAATTTCTTCCTTTTTTTCTCTCTCTTTCTCTCTCTTTCCTCTAAAAGTAAATTTATTAGAATAACGAAGATACACGAATCTCGGCCTTTCCCCCGTTCGAAGATATTCTCCCGCAATTTTTAATTAATTTCGTATACGAGAAAATGGCGTGCGATAAAGGATATCGCGATGGTGGTTGGAATATAATGTAAGTCGAGAAAAATTGATGATTCTTGTGTTAGTAATATTCGTTTTTTATTCATCCTTAAAAATTTTATTTCCCTCGGATTAAAGTTCGATCGATCTTGTTAATTAATCGTCGATTATTATGTTATCCAGGGCAGGGATGGCAAGGGAAGTATTTACGTATGGGCTTCTGGTAATGGGGGTTTGAAATCGGACGATTGCGGATGCGATGGATACGTGGGAAGCATTTATACAATCGCAGTAGGCTCTGCTAGTCAGACCGGAAAATTTCCATGGTACGGTGAAAGCTGTCCTGCGACAATGGCCACGACGTACAGCAGCGGAGCTTACCACGATCAAATGATAGTGAGCATTGTGTCACATTTTTTATTAATAGGGATTAATAGGGATAGATAGTGCAAATTTGAATTAGAAAATAAATAGAGGCTCTATTTTTATCGAAAGTGGAATAATTTAACAAAGTCTTTTAGGTGACGACAGACTTAAAAAATACGTGCACCACTGGACACACTGGTACTTCCGCATCCGCTCCATTAGCTGCCGGTATTCTGGCCTTAGCTTTGCAAGTGAAGTACGAGCTTTTTGTTTTTTTTTTTTTTTCTTTTTCGAAACCAATGGAATCCCTTTTTTGTTTTAAACTTCATTCTAATTTATGAGATCGAATTATAATTGCATAAAATTAAAGGAGATTCGAAGATCGTGTCTCCTTGTCGTAAATATTTGAAATTTGAAAATTTTTTAAAGGGAAATCCATGGAGTATCGATTAAAAATTTATTGTTGTCTCGATTAAGAAAATTTTGAACAAATTTTGTGTGTGTTTTTTTTTTGCGGTAAAATCTACGGTATTCTTAATCTAAACAACAATATCCCTCTATAGTTGTTTTAACCTATTAAAAAGAATGCCTTAAGCTATTTTCCTTGTTATAACTCGTTCCCGGAACACGGCCATGAAATCTTCCATTGAAGCAAATATATCTTCGCTATACAGTGAATAATGAAAATAATTTATTATTATTCTTGAAGCAAAAATTTAACCTGGAGAGACGTGCAACATCTCATCGTTTGGAGCTCGGAATACAGTCCACTCAGGTAAGCTCAACTCTGAAACATACGAATCCTATTTTTTCTATTATCATATTTGCATAATATTTAATTAAAATTATCCAAATTTTAAACTGCATAACTCTTGAAAATCTATTCGAAGCTGTGCAATCTAAGTTAATCGTTAGAAAGCAGTAACTTTGGCCTTCGATTCTTCTTTTGATTCGCATCGATACGACTTCCGGTTCTTAAGATATCCTGCATCGAAGGGAAACCTGATTTTTAATTCAACGCAATCTTTTTCCTTGTTGCACACGCTCGGATCTCTCTTTTTCTTCCTCCCTCTCTTTCTTTCTCTCTCTCTCTCTCATCCACCGTGACCTATCCCAATGATGCACCATATGCGCTGGTCAGTTACAGCCGCTCACTCACCTCTTTCTCCACTGTTACTACGTTACATCGTACGCAAGAAAAGATGTAGGTCACAGCGGATATGCCATTCATGCCTCTCTTTTCACATTTTTAAATCTGAGATCTCGTATATCGGGAACCAATTGAGATATTGATTTGAAACAAAAAGCATAAATAGCCTATTTTCTTCCATGCATAAGGCGTATCTAATTTCAATGCGTTCCAAGACTCTCTTCCAAGATTGTTATTTGATTGTTATGACGATGTATATTACTCGAATTACGAATACGATAACATCTCTATCTAATTTCCGTAGTAACGTTGACAATGTATCGAATCACTTTAATAGAATTTAATAGAATTACTTTCGATTATTGCTAAATATTTTTTCAAATTTTGAGAAAGCTTTCTCGCGAAATAGGAAACCGAACTCGATATAGTTTCTTTCTCCTTGGGCATCGCGGATCCAACGCGGATGGATTAAACCATTGTGTCGTTCTTATTCGTTTCGGGACGGAGGGAGGAAATGTAGGTCGCGCTGTTTCGACGAGAAACGATAATTGCTGTAAAACGAACGGGAAGGAAACGAGAAAGAATCGTTTCTTTCTTCAAGATAATGATAATTCTTCGAGGTTGATCAAGATACAGAATCAAGATGCGTTTGAAAAATGAATTAAATATGGGTGAAAATTTATTGGTGCTCCTTTTTTTTCTTCTTTTTTATTATTACATTATGTTTCACAATAATCGTGTTCGTGAGAGGACAGAGACGAAAATAATAATCGAACGATTCGATTTACAATTTCCAAGCTTCATTCTTCACGGCGTGGAGGTATAGGTCGGATTTAGTGACCTGATTGCGCGATTGTATCGGCCCTCTCAACGAGACGAAACGAAACGAACAATGCTTTATTCCGCGTCCGATATCGTTTAAATGAAACCATTTGTTGCTTAAATCGATGTTTGCAAACGCGATCGATTTATCGATCATCGAATTATTCACGGGGAGATCTCGAATCGATCGTTAAATAAACCCGTGAAATAATTTAATATCATCGTGTAATAATTCGGTGATCGATTTAAAATACGATTTGCCAAGAATTAAGATCTTTTTTTTCGTAAAAAAGAGACGAAAGAATGTTGAAAAAAAGAGTATTTCCTCCTGTGTAAAAAAAAAAAAAGATTATACCTGTTTCGTTTTTCGTTGGTCGTTCTGCGTTTCGCGGAGTCCTATAATTGCATCGATTTTCAGGGAGAATCCTGGCTGGTTCAGAAACTCGGCTGGATTTTGGTTCAACTCACGTTTCGGCTTTGGACTTATGAACGCGTATTCGTTGGTCTCGGCAAGTTACAATTGGACCACCGTGCCCGACAAGATCATCTGTAAAGTGGACGTTGCTAAAGGGTAAGTAATACTTTTCCCTTAATCGATAACATCTTTTTATCCACGACTTTTTATCAACATTAAATATACGCGAAACGTAGGCATTTCGTTTGAACGCGTAGAAAAGTACGATTAAGAGAATTAATCGGATAAAATGTGACACAGGATTAATTATTATATATTAATAAAATTAGTAATCAAGTATAAAATTAATAAAATTAATAAAATTAGTAAATTAGTGTTATTTAATTGATCGATAATACGAAACTATCCAATCGTACTTACCTCCTCCACATGCAAACACACACATAGAAATTATCACTCGCGGTTAGATTATCACTACACGTATTATCACTACAGGTATTATCACTATACGTAATTTCTTGCTTTAAACTTTAAACACCACTAACACTCGTACGAACTCGAGACACTGTTATTTCGCACACGTTCCATTTATATCTCAATTTTTACCAAGTATTTTTTTAATAACAATTTTTATAATATCACATTGAGGAAAATTAAACGTGTCTTCTCAAGCGTTTCAGAGACAGAAAACAGGCGTGTGCAAATTACGTGTCGCGATTCTCGCGATCAGAACACCGGGTGATGTTCCCCGTTTCGTCCTTGATCCTTTGAAAAGCGCAGCAAAGCCCGCTTTGACTTTTTTACGTCGTTAAACTCAACATGCCGTAAAGTGCACTTCAGTCATTCGTTACTGCGCCGTAAAGAAGGCAGTCGAAAAAGTGGAACGTCTCGAGACTATTCGTACGTTTCTCGCGTCAGTTTACCGTTTCCCCCTTCGAGCTGCCCCGACGCCCTTCAAACCAAGACCTTTCCCTTTCTTCCTCTTCTTCTTCCTTTTCTTTTTTCCGAACTTCGAACCAACATTTTTCGTGTCACCGCGCGTCACTTCCTTTCGAAAAAGAATTCCGACGAGATTTCGATGCACATCCATCCCATGTATGTCGCTTAACCGATATCCGATGTAATTATTCACAGTAAAACGTTTAATAGTCGATTAAGAGTTTCCATCTTGACAATATTCCAGAAAGTTTGCATAAAATCTATCGACAAGATTACACGCGGAAACACTCGATATACGAGAAAACGTTTCTTCCTGGTCTAGAATCGACAAGAAGTTGGCTTATGGAAATGCAAGAAGGATACGATTCGAGGCGGAAGATGAGTGTCGTAAGGCGGGGGACGAGATTACGTTTTTGGAACACGTAGAAATTGAGGTTAGCCTCGAGTACAGTGTACGCGGTTCTCTTCAGATACATCTAACTGCGCCATCAGGTAAGAATCCGTCCGTTTCCGTCGAATGTTGAACCGTAACTGCGTCGAATATAAATAGTGGAAGAGTGGGGAATAGCTTTTCGTGGAAATAATAATCTCCAATGATAACATATAATACAGCGCGTGTTTCGTCGAATTCAAAACATTTGAAACGAAAACATTAAACTGTAATAGAAATATTTCGATTATAATATAATATACGCGCGCGTTCCGTCCTTTTCAAAACAAACATTTGAAATCAAAATATTAAACTCTAATAGAAATATTTCGATTATAATATAAATATACGCGCGTGTTTCGTCGATATAAACATTGAAACCAAAACATTAAACTTTAATAGAAATATTATCGATGTATTTATATGTCGTACGAAATAGATTTTGTCTCAGTCTCGATCGAGACTCGAGAGAATGAGATGGGGAAATAAAATTCTCGCACACAGATTCGATCGAGGCGCATCCCCTCTACTCGAGATCGATTTCGCGTGGTGAATTATCGTTTTCGAAAAACGATGAGGCGTGCGAGATTTATAATCTCTCAGTTCCATCCAGTTTTTAAAGAGAAATTTAAAGAAAAATATTTTTACCTCCAACCTTTCTTTCCTCTAAGTTTCAAAGATACCCCGCGGTGTCAACGCGAGCATTAATAAAGCTTTTATTTTGCGAGGGAAAAAGTTGGTAAATGGGAAGGAAGCTTTGAAAAATAATTCCTCCTCTTTCTCTCAATCTCGTATCTCTCGAAGCAAATTTAACCAAAGATTTTCTTACGTCCATTTATTCACCATTATTATCTGCTTCTTAATAAATTACGAAAAATAAATTACGAGAATGTAATAGAAATACATTCGTGTATAACGATCGATTTTACAGTAACAGAATTGAATCAGAACTAATTCTAATGAATCGAAGAGAGAGAGGGAGAGGAGGGGGAGGGAAAGGGACATTGCGTAGCTTTAATTTCGAACATGGTCGCGAATTCTGTTATATTAATAGCCAATATTTCGCGCGTGAATGCATTGGGGAATATTTGAAAAACAAGTAACCACGAAGCAACGGTAATAATTTCGATCGATTGAGAAAAAAGGGCCACACGATTTCCATCAATGCATATATTCTCCTGATTTCAATTACGAGAAATAAAATTTATTAATTGAATCTTTATCTCTCTCTTTTTCTTGAATTTTTACTTGCTCGAAAACAATTTTTCATTTCCACATAAGAGAAAAAAATAAGATAAATTTCACAATATAGTGAAAATAGAATTCATTGGATCGTTATTCTCTTTTTTCTTTTTTTTTTTTTTTTTAAATTTCGATGCATTTTCAAGGGACAAAAGTACAGATATTGAAACCAAGAAAATTGGACGATTCGACAGCAGGTTTCGAAAAGTGGAAATTTATGTCTGTAGCATCGTGGGGCGAGGATCCACGTGGTAGATGGATTTTAGATATTCTTGACGAGGTAATCCATTCAAGAATTAATTTCCTGTTTGTTTCACACGAGAAAAAAAGAATAGAATGCAAGATCTAATCGAACTTGTTCATTTGCAACTCAACAGATCGGCCCGAAAGAAAATAATGGGACGATAGAAGGATTTGCATTGATTTTACACGGAACCAGAGTAATGCCCGAGTATCGTAAAAATGGGCCAAGAATTTACAATCAGGACTACAATCGAATTCGAAACATTGTGAGTAGATTTCATTGTAAAAGAATTGTAAAAGAATTTCTCCCTGCATTTCCTTTTTTCCTCGTTGATAATTTTCGACGAGCTTCGAATTTCTCTTCTTTAATATTTTCGACATTCTAACGCGAAAGACTTGAATCGAATATCTTATTATGCAGAACGATGACCGATCGATGAAATCTATGTTCGAGAGGAAACTAGGATTACTTCTTCAAGAGACAAACGACGTCTATGAAAAAGATTGGCTCGAATTCTTATGAATATATATATACATATATATATTTTTAGAAAAAATTATCATTTGTTATATAAAAAAGAAAATGTAAAAAAATAAAGGTGAATGAAATAATAAAAATCGATACATTTTTTTTTTCTTTTGTATAATTCATTCGGTTTTCATATATCACTTACATATCCTTTTTTATTCCAGAGAATATAAAAAAAATAATCTTTAATAAGAACGTAAGAATATAATTGATGATAAATAAAACAAACTGCATATTTTAGCAGTTTTTTTTCAAAAAAGCATGNATTCAGTTTTCATATATCACTTACATATCCTTTTTTATTCCAGAGAATATAAAAAAAATAATCTTTAATAAGAACGTAAGAATATAATTGATAATGTAAAGATCAATAACAGATGGCTACGATACAAAGAAAATGATAAAACAAACTGCATATTCTAGCAGTTTTTTTCAAAAAAGCATGCATGAAATAAAAAAAAAGAAAAAAAAGGAAGAGGGGATGAAAGTAGAATAAGAGAAACCATGTTGACATTTTTCAGAATAATTTCCATCAAGCAACAGGCTTACCCCAAATATAACATGTTTCGCATTTCTTGTGTAAATATGTCGCTGTTATGGCATACGTTTCCTTGTTCTCTAAATCCATTGCTTGGCAGAACGATAACTTAGAGGAATACGATGCGAGATACGAGAAGACAATTTCAGAATCAAAAGACTCGTTGCACGTAGATGAATTTACATTCGTGTAATCCTCGTGTAAATTTCTATAGTTTCTCTCTTTGAATTTAGCGTGTAAAATTTAATATTTCCTCTGATTAATTTCTATAATCGATGAATTAATAAACAAAAGAATCTTTGAATCTTTCGCTTATAGAAAGATTTATTCGTTAAGAAAAGCATTCTCAGGAAATTGAACTCCGACTTCCCGACAAAAGATATTATTATTTCTCTCATAACACAAAGATTAAGGAAACAGTATTTAAGAGATCTCGTAGAGAACACGTATTTTAAATAGAACGTGACCGAGTTCCGATATTCTTTTTCTGAGTAATGCAATTAAGTTTTCTTAAAATCCATCCTATGTTTAATTCCACGAAAATATCGGTAGATACGAATGCTTTCGTATAAGGAAAATGAATTATTTATTCGTTTTTAGTACCATATTCAACGAGAACGAATCGAAATTAGGGAAATTTTCTTAAAAAAAAAAAAAAAACTATTAATTTCTTGTTCTTGTTAATAATTGTTACGATTATTCTGAAAATAGGATCGGATACAACGGTCATAAATCATTTCGCGATGCAAAAATGCAAATTATGCAAGATGATGAGGAGTTTTGGGACGATGCATAAGCGAGGAACATTTCCAGTGAAATATGGTGAAAGCTATTAGCGCAGCTCGCCAACTATTTCGTGCTTTAAGGGGTTAAGTTCGAGCGAAATTTCCACCAAGATCGTTTTCTTCTTATCATTTTCCAATTCGAGATACAATTCTTTCGTGTTAGTAATAATTTTCTGTTAATTAACAAACTCTTCCCCTCTCGTATCTTTCTCGTTTTCAATCAAAACTCGCGTTCGACGTCAAAGAACGATGCGTACGATACTCACTTTTTCAATTCTCGTCACGGGGGAAAGGAATTGGTTGCTTCGATAAAATTCAATCTCAACGGATACGATAATGCAAACATGCATGTTGATGTGTTTTAATCTTGAATCGGGATAACGGATATACACAGTTATCCGAGAAATTAATAACAATAGGAACTATATATCCGTGAATTGAAATCAATCGTTGTACATGGAAAGTAGAATCCATGGAAAATTTAATTAAAACGTGAATTAATTCTGGCCACCATGCGAAAACGCGTTCCCTCCCTTCTATTAAAGATCGTTTGCTTTATCGATTGAAATGAAATTACCGCGAATTAATTGTACGAATATTAATGAAAGTTAAAGCCCTTCCGTTAGTGGAATAATTAACGTTAATATTTAAAAAAAAAATGTGTAAAATACGATTGTTTGCCGAGAAAAATGAAATCACGTTAAATGAAAGAATTATCCAAAGCGGAAGATTCGATTAGGGGAAGTTTTCGCGAAAGGAAAACTGCTGTTATCCAGAGTTTTCCCGAAAGAGAGAGATCGATATATAAATAATTACGCGTTTTAAATGGCTTGCGAAGGCGTCACATCGAACTTCCGAGGAATGGTTCAACTACTTTAAAGTACCCTTTCTATATTCAGAGCATGAATGAATTATAAATCAAAACTCTCCTGCCTTTCATAACCCTTTCTTGTAAAAGAAAAAACATTTTCAACATTATATATTCTACTCCCCCGACGCGAAATTTTACGTTCGAAAGATTAAATATCAACTTCAATTTTACGCTATTTAATTTCGAAAATATCGGGCTGAAAAAGAAAACTAGAGAAAATTGTTTAAACTTTGTAACAAAAATTTTGAGGAAAAGATAGGATAAAAGCAAGTACTAAAAAGAAGAAGAAGAAGAAGAAGAAGAAGAAAAGAACAAGGATCTCAAAATTCGACTTACTGTAAACGCCTATCATAGTCGTTGCAACCACCACGTAGCTGCGCTGCCGTCGACCTAATAATGGGGTGAGTAGGGGTGAAACGGGGATGATTCGGCCAGTAGCATGCCGCCCTTCGTGCTATAAACATCGTGCAACTCCCTCGGAAACGGAGATCGTCGATGGTGGTCGTCCTCTTCACCTGACTCTTCCATCTTTTCAAATCTCGATATAATTTACACCTGAAATCATCGTACAACGTCAGTGATAGTCACTTCGTACACGCACATACACACGTGAGTAATTTTTAAACACGATTGTACAAGTATAACACACGGTCAGATGTTCGTACCAACACTGGTGCACCGGGAAAACAGGACAACAGTAAGATAATCGTAAGAGATAAGAGAAAGGAGATGTGTGTGCACATATGTGTGTCTGTGTGTTAATTGCATACGAAGATTACCCTTCACAGTAATTAAACAGTGATAAAGGGCGTGACGATGCGAATGAAGCTCCGTCCTGAAAGCTGTGTCCGAATGCCAACCCGAGTTTCGCTAATTAACAAACAGCACCCCATTCATTCACTTGACTTAATGAATATACCGCGAGGGGCGCGAGTATCCCCTTTTTCCACGTTCGAATCTTCCACGCAATACCGCCACGCACCTGTCCCATCTTACGAGAACGAATCCACCATTAAATCCATTCATTTTTATATTTGGAAAAAATACGTGGAATATATGACGGTAACTTTTAAAATAGCAATTTCGTTTCAACGAATTTGAAATCGTTTTTTTAATATTAGGATTTAAAGAATCTAAGTTCTAATCGTTTAATAATTATTTTAATAATTATGATTTAATAATACATTGGTGGAGTAAAAGCAGAGAGAGAAAATATTTCTAGGCGCGAGTAAGTTCTTGCGTGTGAAACGAACTTTTTTCTCAACAGGTCGATTATATTCGAGGGGAGGGGAAAAAAAAATCATTAAAACCTCTGGATATTCATTGCGTGACCAATCTTGTAAATGTAATTCGCTTTATTTTTCACTCGATTTCAGCCTCCCCTCGATAAAAAGGTATATAATTAAGATAGAGCAAAAAAATACTTATTGCTTCGGTAATTTTGTTGCAACAATATTTCCCTTTCCTCTTCTTTCGAAATCACGTATCGAACGTAATAACGTAAATCTGTAAAAGTATTCGTTTCTTCTTTGGCGAGAAGGAAGAATCTTGATTAATTCTTGAAAAAATCCTCGAAATTCGGATGAAAAGGATGAACTGTGTGCAATTAAATTTTTAAAAGGGTTTAAAATGCAAAAGTGATTCCTAGATAAACACCGTTTAATTTCGTTTCCACCGAACGAAATTTAAAAATAATTCATTTATTCAAATTCGAAGATTGATTCTTCTTACATTATTCATAACGCGTGACATTTTTTTTTTTTCCTTTGCCAACCAGTGCATCTAAATGAGCAAACGAAGATCAATTTCACGTTTCATTTAGAAACGTATTTAACAAATGTGTGAGTAGAAAAAAGAAAAAAAAAGAAAAAAGGAACAAAGTTGCAGGGAACAACATTCTCTTTTTCATCTCACGTTCAGGGAGGAAAGCATATTACGTCCATGAATCGTTTAATATGGAATATTCTTGGAACACATCTTGAACAATTGAGAAGATTTACGGAAAAAGTTCTCCTTAGTATACGCATAAGATATATGGAAATTTATTGAAATGAAATTAAAATTTCCAAAGAATTTACTTATTCGATTTACATTTTTCATATTTTACATTCCTTTTCTCGACAAATTGTTTTTCTTCGATAATTGCACAACTTGTAATCCCAATATCATATCATTTTCTTTTCCAAGTCCAATGGAAATAAGTTTGACGAAAATTCTGATCTACTTTTCATTCGATTCTTGATATTCGTCGTAATATTCGTCTTGAAATATCGCGAACGATTTAAATTACATATCGAATGTTCCAAGAGAATAAATGGCGTGTATTAAATGATATTTTCCTTCGTGTCAACATGTCCAAAAGAAGGTGAAAGAGAAATGAAAATGGTAGTCTAGAAAAGTGAAAATTTCCTGAACGATTTCTTTCGTACGTGGCTTATTAAATTCATGAAACGCGTTTGGATCGATAGTTATTCAACTAGGTAGGAATTTCATCATCTAAGTTGCTTTTCACAAGTCAAATAGCATCAATTATTTTAATTAAGTGTCATTTAATTAATCGAGAAAAAAAACGCAAAAAATCGTTTGACACCGATCGTCGATCAATCAATTGAGAAAGTCAAAAATTTCGACGATGAAACAAGATCGATGCATTATCGAAAATATATTTCAAAAAAAAAGAACCCATCTAAACCAATCAAAATTTATTATTTCGATTCAGATCAAGCTACTTTTTCCAAAAGGAATCAAAAAAATTGTTGAAACTACATCCAAATAAACAAACGAAATTTGTTTAAATCGAGTTTCTTTCTTGAAATCACATAGTCGTTTCCTCTCTATAATAAATATAACAAATATATTTCGTCAGAGACAAGAAGGATATTATAGATATCAACGTGAGGGCGAATCGGAACAATATTATTGGAAACACGAATCGATAATCGAAGTGCAAGACATTTTTGTATCCGCGAATATATCACCGTATCGGTAACAGAGAGGCTGTCCAGAAATACGTACGTATCCCACGGCACAACTTCTGTTTGAATTATTGGCGAAACCGATGCCACTCCGTCTTCCTCTTGCACAGTTGAGCACTCTGTTTCTATCGAGACACTCTCTTATCCCTTACTAAACAACCCACTTTAAACTGATCGCTATTAATCGCGTATGGAACCACGAAATTATCACATTTCCATAAATGCGTCGGAATGATGATTAAATTAAATGATGAGAATCGTCGTATGAGAATTTATAACAGTTCGATAGGGAAAATGAATCCAATAAGATAAATAATTTTTGTTGCATTTATTCTTTCTTTCTTTCTATCCTCTCTCTCTTCATTTTCATCTTCTTTTTTCTTCTGTTTTGAAAATTATTGTATACCTCATGGAAAAGACTAAATTTTTTTTCCATTTCGTTTCGTAATACGGCATTGTAACGTGAATTAATGGGGGGAAAAGGCTCCGAAATAGGAAAATTCTCGTGGCGGATTAATCCTAAAATAAATCCCGCGAGTGTAATGTTCTCGATGACGTCAACGGTTGAAATTTTTCATCAAAGACATTGTCCTCTGGGAAATGGTAACGTATTAAAACCGGAAAAAGTAACTGTTGATCGCGTATATATTTAGTCAGAAAAGTGGTTTCCAAGTTGGACGGAGTTTGACTCGTTATTTTCAATCTCGAAAATCTTCGTGCTACATCTGCTCGTGAAAATCGATTATATCACGGCACTCGTGCAATTACTCGGTCGTGAATTACACGATCTTTCAAACAGGAACGTTAACAAGCCGCCGAAACGAGGAAAAACTCCTATCGAAAAATTACGTGCCCGATGGCGACGGCCACGCTTCCGTTAAAAAAGAAATATATATATATTCAGCCGGTTGGATTGAATCGAGAATTTCTCCCTAGGCCGGAAAATCGAGGCAGCAAATACTCGAGGAAACCATGGTTGGAAAAACGAACGAGGATGAAAGAATGGAGAACAACCTGCAGCCCGTTTCCATTGTGTTTATTTTTAGCCCGCGACACAAAGCTCGTAACTCGTAGCGCAGGTAAAACGTTCCTTGTTACAGCTTGATGATTTCGTTCAACTTTTTCCAAATTTTTCTACAAAAAAAAAAAAAAAAAAAGAAGAAAGAAAGAAAAAAGAGAAATACACTATAGGAATACGAGAGAAATCGGTACAATCGATTCCTACTCCCAATCATGATTTTTGCCACGCACTCTGTATCTCTGTATCGAAGTGGAGCAAAAGTTCATCCGGCGATCAGGAGGGAAGGAAAGGATCATTATCATTGACGCTGTACAATGTACGGCCGCCTTTATTATTATTTCCAGCGTAGAAAAGAGCAAAATGATGCTAGTTTCAACCGTGGCAACGATCATTTTTCACCCGCGCACGTACTCCATTTTTGTCACCGGCTGTTAGAGACAGTAGAGTAGAAAGGGGTAGGAAGCAAACAGAGAGGATCGGTTACCGTTAATTACTCGTCGTCGACTTCTCTCATCGCGAAGCCACGCGGTTTAAATGAATATTTTATTTGCATGGCTTCATTGAGGAAAAAAAAAAAAAAAAGAAAAAAAAAGAAAGAAATAGACCAACGTTCCTTACTCGTCTGCCCTTTCTTTCTCTTTCCTCTTCTTTTAAATTTTCGGGGAGAGATAGTACGTAGCTGGGCATTATCGATCGCGCCTCAAACATTTGTCATTTTTATCGGCAATATTATAAAAAATATGTGTACGTCTGCGAACGTTTTGGGAATTGAAAACGATGAAATTGACGAGGGATTATGACGAATTTTTATTTTTGTAGTTAATTTGTTATGTAAATGGGAAGGATTACAAGCCACCTAAAATTACAGAGTAATGTAAACAACAGGATGATTCTGTTTGTTGATTAATCTGTTTAACGTTTGTAATAATATGTAATGTAATAATATTTAATCTGTACGAGGAACAATGAAGTTATTGGAAATTTCGTTTCGTCGTTATATGTCGATTGATTATAAAGAAGATATAAAAATTTTATTTTAACGACATTGTTGCGCAGATCTAATAAAATGTATTGAAGAGATAAGTGATATCGTAAAAAAATGATGGTCACAAGATGGTTATTTATCAAGCACTCACGGTGTCTTCGATCGCTCGATATTTGTATCGGAATAACATCAATGGCGCGAACTTGTCGGGGATTATAACATTGTGCTATCAGATTATCGCAATATCGGGTCAAAAGCGACGCTTGATTCGCCATCGATAAAATTTATCGGAGGGTGAAAGCCTCTAATTGATCGCCACGCTTCCGGTTATAGTGATTGAAAAGTATCGACAATCTAATCGAACGATTTACGCCCGTACAAAAATTATTTTCACCGCCACTCTATTCTCGTCAAAGAGCCAATTAAATCTGCCCTCGATACGATAATAACTTGAAGATTTTATCTCGAAAATACATCCCCACAACTTTGAATCGAAATCTAAAAATTTAATGGATCTGAAAATTTGATCGAAATCACGAGCGGTCGTTGGTTGTCAAATAAAAACAGGATATAATTAATCGGAAAAGTGAGAAGAATTGTGCGAAGATTATACGATAAATTGTTTTCTCCATCGCATTTTTATCTCCAATTTATTTTTCTTTCGTTGATATTTTTTGAAAAAATTTGTTCAATTCGTGATATGGAAAAACTCTTGACTGGGAAAAAAACACGTGTACTCTTTTCAATCAAAAATTTTCTATCGATACTGGTACTGTAGCCTAGTCAAATGTTAGCTTTCTGCACGACGTGGCTCGATTTTTAATCAGACGAGATATTAAAAATTTGTTCAACGAGACTATATCATCGAAATAATATTTTATATTTAAAGAGATTTCTATATTCCTCTATCTATTAAATCTTTTCTTCATACTCGATATATAATACTAATTAAAATTGCTCTGTCTCATCCTTTTCTGTTAACAATCGTATGAAGAATAGCGCGATTTTCTGATTATCGTCTGATTATATTCGTCAATTAAAATATTTCCCAGAAAATGGGTAGTTTTCATGGATGGTTATTTCCTATTTAATCGAAATTGTTTTCAACAATTATTCAAATTTTCATAAACAGCTAAGGAGCTATCTAATGTTGTTAGTTTGAAAAATGGTACACGGTGAAGCGAAAATACACTGAAAAATAACGAATTTTTAATTCTTCTTTCCATAGAAGGATAAATGAATCCGAACATTCAAATCTGTTTAAATGCCAGGGCGATAAATCATCGATACGAGGGAGTAAACATCCCATCGAATTTCAACGATGTGACCGTCGACGCACGTTTGTAACGCGAACTATGCCACGATCATGATTTCACTAGAATCCGACTGATCGATTTCGAAGTGTTTCGAACGTTTCATCGGAGGAAATTTGAAACTTTTCCTGATCGTGCAAATTAAATCGTGTGTTAATTCCCGCGGTGTACTTCGAATTGGACTGTTTTTTGCTAAAAACCTTTTTAGATTCGATGAAAAACAAGTTGGATATGCGGCGAATTTCGCGTTATTCGTTTGCGATTTTCATGGAAAGATGGATCGAAACAAAGAGATCGAAAATCCTGGTATTCCATTCGATTTCCACCTTGGAATACATTCCATCCGTATTACCATACACAGAATTTTTTAAATTTACGTGAAACTCTCTGAAAATGCTTTTTCCAGATGGATAAAAATATCAAAAGTCGGAAGGGGGATCGTTGTTATTAAACGTTTTCAAGTGTTGTAAATTCGGGCGGTTCGAAACAGTTGACGGAATACAATTCAACATTTTTCCTCTAACTGTGTGCGCATTTGATACTTGACGTTAAAGATGATTAAAATACAATGGCGAGCATTCTGTCCGCAAAAAAAGAATAAATTATAAACGGGACAGAAAAACAAAGGAGAAGAGCAAGCACGTTGCTCTTTTAATAATATCCCCTGCTCGTGTCCACGATATTAATCCACGATGCCTTTAGTTAGAGAGTAAAATAAAACGAACAAAATCTCCGTCCATCCGTGAGGATGGAACACATATTTCACGTATGTATGTATATTTTCAAAAGGATCCTCCTTCCTTCGTATTTCGAGCTACGATACTCTTCCCTCTTGACGTTTCGCAACGCGAGAACCTATAGATTATATTTCATATCTACGGGGATGGAAGAATAGAGAATACGAGATACGTATCATCACATAGATAAACGTTGAAAACGATTGTTCGAAAATAGAAAAAAACTATAAAAGAAAGGAGAAAGAAATATTGGTGAACGCGTGACAGGTACAGTCGTGCGTTTGCCAGCGACGTTTCGCAGAATTTTCCATTTCTCTTTCCCTTATTCCGTTGTACAGGATCGGTTTGGAGGATCGTAACTTTAGATTTTGGCTCGCAATATCGTTGTTACGTTGATGAATAGAACGTTGGTCGGGAAAACGGATCATTACGTAATATTGAGATAATATTGAGATATGTACATTCTAATTACGCCGCGATTGAAACTGATGACGGGTAAAATTAACCGTGAAAATTTATGTGCATTACATGCAGTTCAACTTTACCATACGCTATGTCCATATGACGTTTCACGTTAGTTAGGTCCCGAACTCAAATATCTGTTAGATGATTCGGTTCCACGAATATCATCTCTTCGTGTCGGCATAATTTCGAAATTCGGATTCCTCGTATATTAACGAGATTAATTCGAGCACGATTACCGAACCAAGTCATCGATGCAAATTACTAAATATACGTATCCATTCCCTCGCAGAAACGCAAGTATTAGCTTAATAATTATTTCATTTATACGCGTCGAGCAGCCTTCCAGGCGTGGATTCGATTCCAACGAGGGAACTCGAAGGTATTGTTGCGTCGTTAAAAAAAAAGAATAATAATTTCGCGTTGAAATATGTAAGCCGATAATTCAGAATAACGTTGATGTAATTGATAATAAATTTAACAATACGATTGGAACGAATTGACGTTTGCATAATTTTCGTAACTAAATATAAGAATTGCAAAAGTTTGGCGCTTTTGTTCGATTGCGTAACGTTACGTTTATGTGAGAGTGAATATAACTATTCAGGATTTGTGTTAAAGTTAATTAATTAGTGGTGAATAAAACAAGGGACGGTCGTGTTTAATTTCGATTTTCAGATTTAATAATCTCACGTGATGAGAGTCGAGATGTAGAGCAAGTTCGAGGAAGTAACGAAAAATGGTGGACAAAGAGGAAATAACGAAGACACCCTCGCCCCTGAATATCAACGAGGCGATCGAGGGGGACGCGTTGAATCAAAAGACTGCTAGGAGTAAGTACGAAGATACGAAAAAGATATTATGCGAGGAACATCGGTTTTCCCTTTAACTTTCCATCTGATCCAAACTTGAGAATAAGCAGAGTTGCAAATTAAGTTTACAACTTTCTTCCTCGTTTTGATTAACAAATTTTCAAGAACTTCTATCTTTCGTCTCGTCTCGTGTCCTATGTAAGAAAAATGATATTTAGAAGAATTCTTGAAAGAAAATATAGAATAGATAAGAAAGTAGAGATAGGGAGAATCCATCCATTGAGAGAGGAATATAAAATTGTTGGAAAGAAAGTACATTAGAATATTCAATACGATCCACCCAGAAGAAGAGGAGCTTGTTTTCGAAATAAACATTTCTTTCGAATATTTTTAATGATGGATGATTATTAAGAGAAAAAAAATTTCTGTTTCTCAGTACTTAAGAACGATCTTCTATTATACGAGGCTGTGATAAAAAATGAAGCGGACACCGTTCGAAAAGTGCTCAAAGAGACTGTGGACGTCGATTCCAGAAATAACGTAAGTCGTAAAATATCCATTAATAAAATTAATCAAAGAAATTCCACTTCTACGATGGACCCAAAATGCTTAAAGCGAGACGACTTTATTGATCGTAATTGAATCGCGTTTAATCTCGTTTCCGTTTTCGATTCAAAATCGAATATCTCGAAGATATCCTTAGAACGATTCAAAATAAGATTCCTTTTCCCTTTGCATCCACTTCGTTAAGGTTAATCTTAGACGTTATTGTATAGCACGGTCGAATGCTCTAGATAATATGATGCGGTTATAGTGTATACCGGTGCACAACGTGAATAACGAGTCTGATTAAATATGGAATAATACTACTTAAGGATACGTTATCAAAGAGATACGAGAATTTAATTAAGAATTTAATTAATATATATCGTTCTTAGCTTCGTTATTCTAATTGTTCTTATTTCTTTTTTAAATTCAATTATAATTCCGAGTTCACGTCGGACTAAAATATTTCACTTAAACTAGTTAAAAAAGAATTATAATCTCCGAAGAGTTATAATTCTTTACTTGTGGTGTCTCGAGTTTTATATATAAAAAAATTTAATTAAAAATTATTAATTATATTTATTACGTTTTGAAATTATATTAATTTCGAATCGATAAGAGAAATGATCGGGTATAACGAAAATATTGGGTATAATCGTCGCGTTAGTATGAGTGAAATACTAAAAACACGTACGATGTTTTGCGCTGGAAAATGATTTAGTATGGACGAGCGCCAATTCATTGGGCAGCATCGAGGGGAAATACGGAGATCATCGAGATGTTGATACAAGCGAAATGCGACATCGAGGCGAGAGACAAGGTAATATTTCATTGAATATATTAATATCAATAAAATATCTGTACTGATACGTAGAATTAAATTAAATTGTTTAATTGTCAGAAATAAATAAACACAATATTTGTCGTTTTATATATATATATACATATATATATGTATATTCATTCGTCATTTTGTTCGAAAGCCAATTATTTTTTTTTTTTTTTATTTCCACACGGATGTCCGTTTGCATTCCTCGCATATCATTGTTCTCTCGGACAGTATTCGTATTAATTTTATTAAAAAAACATAAACTGGAGTGATATGTATAAATTTTATACGAATTTAATTAATTAAAATCCATTTTTCGTGTTTTAAGTTTGGCATGCGTCCGTTACACATGGCTGCGCGATATGGACACAGGGACGCTGTTAAAATGTTAATCAACGCTGGAGCAAATGTGTCAGCGGTGAACAAGGTATATTCATAATTAACACGCTATGGTAAAGCTACTTTGTCTCCAGGCAAAAATATATAACACGTTCAATGATGACGAAACGTATCTAGGGAATTCTTGCCTGTTCCAATGTCAATTAATTATAGCACACGTCATCATCATATTTTTATCCAACTTTTGCACACGCGTTCGATACAAGTGTCGGTATGCACAGCCATTTTGAAAAATTTCGTAAACGAAAAAATCAATATCCGCCACCGTGAATCCGTTTTCGATCTTTGGTGCAACGTTGAACGCGTTGATTAAATAAATTTTCAAAACGAATTTTTTAATATTTCTGAGAAACAATTTCAAAATCTAATTAGAAGATTCTTAAAAGAAATAATTTAAATTGCCACAGATGCAATTTGATGCATCTTCCTTCCGAACGGAATCACAAAGTCACGATTCCCCTCTCTTCTCAAGATTCTTTCTCAAGATCTTAAGATAAAGATAAGCACGACTCTCGTACTCTTATCTCCGATAAAAAACTCTTCGTAGCTCTCAAAAATTCTTGAGAAAAATGTTTGAAATTATTTTTTCTTTTCCACGCGTTATTTCGAAACATGACCTAGTCTCGTTTAATTCGTTGACATCCGATCATCCATAAGATTTACACGTTGAGATTACGAGGATATTCATTCTTAGGTAGACAAGCATCCAACCTGTTTGTTACAGAAACAATATACTCTTTTAATGTGTGCTGCTCGAGGCAACAACGTTCGCGTCGTCGAATATCTTGCAGAGGCTGTGGAATCGTTGAACGGAGATGCAACTGACTGCACCGGTGCAACTGCACTTCACCATGCAGCTAGCGCCGGTCATCCGAGTATGATAACCGCGCTTTCCAACGTGCCGAGAATCGAGCTCAACGCGACTGATAAAGTAAGGGTTATTCATTTCTATTCGTATTCGCGAGAAAAGTAATTTAAAGTAAACTCGAACGAAAGATAACAAAATACTTGGATCACAAAATTTAAAATTTGAATAATCAAAAGATTTCGTTACTTTTTCATTATCATTTTCCATATTTTCTACAACAATTCTTCTTTTTCTTTCTCCGTTTTAAATTTCAAGAATGATAAATACTTGCAAATCCTTTTTCAATCCCGTTTCCAGATTGGTGAATATATATCCAGTTTTTCGAGGACAATTTATGCAACGCGTTTTAAGATATTAATCCGTTCGTAAATCGATGCGAAAATATGTAAATATCCGCACACGAATGGATGCAAAGGATTCAAGAAACTTCGATTTATACGGAAACTGGTCCGCCTTCTCTCTCTCTCTCTGTCTCTCTCTCTCGATTTAGGGAAACTAGGTCTCCAACATTAGCTATATTGCCTTCTTATCGCGAAGACAAGTGAAATCCCCGAAGGAGAGAATGCAGCCGCTTGAATCTAACTGCGCTCCTTTGAGAGAATTTTATGGAACTCGCGTCGTTTTGTCGATGCTTCCGGCTTCCCACTTCCAATCATTGTACATTCAGCCTTGTCGATTCGCATATACAATCCATACCATCCGTATACATCTACATCCTTCTTTAAATCGAACCGTTTTCGATCTTGTTGCCGTGAAAAATCGTATCGGTCGAAAATACATTTTAACACGATAATCTCTAAAAAATTAATCAGAATTTAATCGAATCGATTAAAATCATGTATTCAAAGCCAGGTTGAACACGTTCCACAATGAATATCATATCGAGAATTTCACGTGAATTCGTAGAAAGGCCAAACACCGATACACTGCGCCTGTGCGGAAGAACACCTGGAAGCTGTGGAAGTTTTGATAGCTCTAGGAGTGAACGTGGACGCTCAGGACTACGAGGGGAACACCCCTCTCCACGTGGCCACGAGAACGAGGCACACAGCCATAGCTCAATTATTGTTAAGAGCCGGGGCGAACACCGAATTGATCGACGAAGTAAATAAGACGAGTTCTTTAATCATAACGAAACCATTTTAATAATTAAAGAACGTGCTCGATCATACCTTCTTCCAGATAGGTTTCACTCCCCTTCACGTGGCCGCCAGCCAGGGTTGCAAAGGGATACTAGAGTCGATGATTCAACACGGTGCGGCGCTCAACAAACAGTGCAAGGTACACTTAAGGTACGTGTAATCGGAATCGAATAACTATCCATCATCGGGAATCGGTTTGCAGTATGGGAACACGCCTTTGCACTTGGCCTGTCAAAACAACGAAGTAGAAACGGTTGAGATACTGATCAATAAAGGCGTCGATCTAAATTGTTTAAATTCGGTGCGTACGACAGTGTTAACGCTTTAAAAGAGAGAAGCGTATTATTTTTATTCGTTCCACCCCTCCCTGACACGATTTATCGCGATTTATCGTTGCAGAGGTTACAATCACCCTTCCATATCGCGACGGAAATAGGGCACAACGACATTTGCAAGCTGTTGCTAGCAGCAGGCGCAAACATCGAGCAAAGAGATCAGGTAAACACGGATGTATTATTCCTTTTTATTCGATATTTATTTTACAATTCTTTGAATTCGTTTTTTCTTTTTTTTTTTTCTTTTTTATTCGTTCGTCAAAGTGCATTAGTGAATCCAGTGGAAAATAAATAACGATCCATAAGAGAGTTGGCCGTAAGAATAAAATCAACAAGCGAAACGAAAGTTTATCGTATCGTGCCTTTTACACCTATCCTCGAAACACGAGTGATCTCGATCTCTGACCACGTGTGACCACGTTTCCATTTCTCCAGCCATTGAGCTCCAGGTTAAAAGATTATATCCCAATTAATTCTCCGGGGAAATTTCTTGAAACGAGAAACGCTTTCGATCAAAGTAGATGTGTCTCTCTTCTGTGTATCGATCCCGATTTAACACGGATGCGACGAGTTGTCAACAACGGTCAACAAGATTGCGTCCATCACCCTGAGCAAACTTAGGGGTGTAACAGACGCAAAATTTGCAAGAGCGTCAAGGGAGCGTAGGCTTGTTTGTCACTGGATTTTGAACCGAGTTAGAGTTAAAAGGAAGTTTGTCTGAATGTTCACAGAGCGGAAAGACGCCACTTTACATCGCGGCGAGGGGCAGTTTCACGGCCATCGTCGACATGATAATTAAAACAGCGAGATTGGATTATCCCACGCCGGTAAGTGATTCGAATCTCGCGTTAAATATATTCATCGTTCTCGCCACGAAGCGAGATTTTTGTAACGATATCGATAAACGAGATAAGATGATCTCTGATGTTAATCGAGTAAGAAAAATGGGATGTTTCGTAGGAGGATTCGACGTCTGACAAAGAAATTCGAGACTTGACACCGGCTAGAAGAAGATGGCGAGAGGGATCGAGGGGTGAAAGTATCTCGAGTAACAATAGCGTACTTTCGGAGCATATACGATCGATTCTGTGGAAATTGGCGTACAAACAATTAGGGCCTGAGGATTGGAAGAAATTGGCGTCGCACTGGGCGTTTACGAACGATCAGATTCGGGCGATCGAGCATCAGTATACGGGTAAAATAAAAAGATAAAAATTGTTTTATTTGTTTTTTAAGGATATCTCTCGAGTCGATGACGCGAATATTAAGTATAAGAAATCATCGAGGCACAAGGTTCATTTCACGAGAGAATCGATTGTTCGAAATTTGAAAAGAATTTATTAGAGATACTGCTAGTGAAATATTTTGTACCTCGATGTTCCCTTCGTGAACCAAGAGCAGCCTTATGAAAAGGACGATTAAAGCTCCCCTTATAGGTCCTTCGAGTTACAAAGAGCACGGTTTCCGGATGCTGATGATCTGGGCATCAGGATTGAATCCTGAAATCTCTGTAGGGAGAGAGCTTTGCGACGCTTTGTCCGCGGTGGATAAAAAATCTGTTGCTGGTGAGAAATTCGTCGAGAAATTCTTATTTACATTTAATTCGACACAAGATAGATAATAGAGAAAGAAATTATTTTCAAAATAATAAATTACAGAATCCGTTCGTAAGCACATGGATCAAGAAAAAGATGGGAAAACGAAGTTAAATAAACGATGTCATAAATGTTCCATCACTTAAGAATAACGATTAACGATTCCATTCGAGTCGAAATGAAATTACGAAGAAAAAAAAAAACTTGGAAAAATTTTCAGTAGATAATTTTAGAGAAATCTCGCGACATATCTGTAGAGACGCTGATATTATCTTTTTTACAATACGTTTCAACATAGACTCGCGTAAAAATATCAATTAAATTCGAGGAGAAATTTTGAAACGAGTATAATTACAAATCAACGAAAGCTTTTCACATATCGCGAAAATTTGATTTAAATATCTTTGAATTAAAATCATCGTGCAAACGTACAAATTTTGAAATCTGAATATTTTAATCTCTTTCTATATATTTTTGAAGAATTCCAATCTTCGTTCGGGAACGTTGCAATTTTTATTCTTATTCGTTAGTTTAAAAAAAGAAAAAAAAAAAAGATAATCGACGTTTGAAGCCGTCCGATTTCACTTTATCTTTTATTGAATACTCATCTTGTTATTGAAAAACCATACGATATTATTCAAATTTGAACTGTAAATATACAAATATAATACGTATCACGAGTTGGAATAAATGCGAAAAAAAAAAAAAAGAAAAAATTTTACAGGGCTTTCGATGTGATAAAAGAACGATATTAAAACATTAGAGAAACGAGAACGAGTGTCTCGAGACATTCGATCATTATTCGATAAAAAGACAATCTACATATCTGAGTATTGTGTACAATTAAATAAACGCGTAATTAAAAATCTATAGATATTTTTAAATAGTCGTTTCCCGATTGCTCAATAGGAATTATCAATCGAAATAGGAAAAGAGAAAAAAAAGAAAAAAAAGAAAAAAAAAAAAGAAAAAAAACGAAATCTAATTTGTATCTCTAAACAAGCATCATTGATCGAAGATTATAATTTCAACTTTTGTGAACCTGTCGAATTAAACGATTGACTTCGATGTAATAAAATTTATTCCGTCGAAACAAAAATTCTAACGATTATTTATTTAATCATACATTACGTTAAATCTATAAACCTTTAAAGAAGAAGAATAGAATATACAAATGATTAAAAAATAATTCTTACCTGGAAATCCTCCTAAAATAGCAATCTTGATAATGATAACTGGCAGCGAAGGTTGAGCGGAAGGGGGGAGAGTGTAGTTGTCAGGATAAGGATCAGGAATACCCTAAACAGAGTGTTCTATTAAAATGTGAATGTTTATTTATCCATACGGAATATTCATTTGCTTCTATGCTATAAAAGAATGCATTTCTTGTTGCTTCCACCTTCGCAATATATAACAAAATATTATGAACGATATTCTATCTATTATCGTATCATCGCCATCATTCTCATCTAATTATTATCGTTATAATTAATCCATAATAGTTATCAGCGGCAATGGTAAAAACAGGATCCGTCAATGGCAATTAATTACCACAATAGTGAATTGTACAAATCGTACGGTGGACAGGGGATATAAATTCGCGTCGGACTTCTTAACCCTTAACATTACAATTAAGTGCTATCAGTAATTAATTATTATTATTATCATTACACAACGAGCGATATGACTATAGCTCGTGGCTTCATCCATTCTCACACGTTCGTAAAATGTCAGACTTGCTGCTTATTAATCGTTTTTCTTTTTTTTCTCAACGCCTCGTCAAACGTCTACATACGAGAGAAAGAAGTCGCCATGCGTGTTCTCATTGTATCGCGAACAAGTACTCGTGTGTCAAAGACGAGAAGTTTAACAATATGTGTTCAATAACAACTTTATATTCTCTTCTCTTCTTTCTCCTTATATCTTCAAGAAAAAAAAAAAGAAAAAAAAAGAAACGAACACCGACATCATATCGAGGAAAACGTTCATACGTGTTTCGTCACTTTTTCAATGTCCACTTTTTATGACCACTTCCTTTTCGTGACCATTTTTCAGATGATACGAAAAATATACACGTTTCGGATACAAAACTCTCTCAGGCGCGTACAATTAATAAATACAAATTTGTTAATTGCGCTTATGTAAATAATAATATCTACTTATTCTTTAAACCCTTTAATTTACACATTATTCTAAACATGGACGAAGCTATCGGCTCGCATGAAATCGAGTTACTCTTTTTTTTTTTTTTTTTCTTTAATTAATTCGTTTTTTACCCCTTTCCGTACTGTGTTTCTTCTTCTCGCCCTCGAACCGTGAAAAATATATATATATATTCTTCTCTTTATCCACATCTCTTATCGCAACGCACGAAACTTATTTAAAAACTTTCGATACGCGGGGAATAATTATCACCGAAATCCACGAGGATTGGGATTATTCTTAACAACATACCATATATATATATATATATATGTATATATATATATATACCAATGTCACGCACAGAATAATTCATTTCGTTTCGTTCGTTCGATATGTCGTAAGACATATGTATTCGTACAATTTGTAAAAATTGTCGAAATAAAAAAGAAGAAGATTTCTATATATAATATGCAAACCGTTATACAACAAACACGACAGATGGAAGTTTACAGATGCAAAACGCAAGAAAGAAAACAAAAGAGGAAAAAAAAAAAAAAAGAAAAGAAAATAGGAGATAAAAGATTGAATTAAGGACAAAGGAATATTTAAATTAACGCTTGAAATATTTAAATTAATATGAAAAATGTTATAACCCTTAATTATCGCGGCCCGTTAAGCGGTGACCGCGGCTAAACGCGCGTTTCCGGTTCTTTTACCTCAAGTCCACAAGCCTCGCGTCATCCAGTCAGTAAAATGAACAGGACGTCTAGGAAATAAACTTCCTACGGCAGAAATTGAAAAAAACAAAGGATTAGGTTTTTTGTCGATTTTTTAAACGATTTTTATTATCATCGATCGAGACTACCAAATTAAAAAGAGAAAAAAGACAATCAACTTATTCTGTACGTGTTTTTCTCTCTCTCTCTCTCTCTCTCTCTCTCTCTCTCTATCTCTCTCCTATCTCTAATGATTCGTCGCGAAATAATTAAAGAAAAAAATATTAGCAAATATTCTGATTCTTTATCACTGATTCGAGGTAAAAATTTTCCTCTTGTTCTAATTTTTCTTTGTATTGAATCAAATGAAAAGGGAGGAAATGAAAAAAAGAGAACGGCGTCAAAAAAAATTAATAAGTCACGTTTCTGAAGTACTTGATCGCTTCTTGTCACTAATTCTAGAACGAAGACTTTCAATGGATCGATACGATTAAAAAATTCTTAAATCTAAAGCTTACAACACCCACGATCATCTTGGACGAACAAATTAATCACTAATACGTCCATGTTACTATCTTCTCAACGGTTTAAAAAATAACATTCGTTTAAGCTCCTCATTATGGAAATTGTTCCTGTTCTCCTTATTTCTCATTCGCAAAACGAAAAAACAAATTCTCGACCGACCTGATCGAAGTTTTTTTACGCATAATCACGAATCGTCTTCTTCTTCTAAGAAAAAGAAAAAAAAAAAAAGAAAAAAGGAAAAAGAAAAAGAAGATTAATTCGACAGATCGGTCAACACAGCCTGATCAAAATCGATCGTATCAATTCTTAGGCATCTTCTTGTCGTAACCTTAAAGCGTATACACTAGTTTCTATCACTAGTTGTAGAGAAACAGCATCGAATCACAATCTTCTTTGCGCCGAGGTCGAAGCTGAAGTTTCGTTGACCGCGTGTAAGAATTGATCCTCGATTCCTCCTTTGTCTCCTTCTTCCCTTCGAACGATCTCTCACGACATCTTCACAAACATTTCATCTTTCGATCCACCAATACTCCTCCTCCCTCCGTCTCTCCAAATATCTTGCAGAGTCCGGCACAGTAACAAAATCTCCGGGGACCTTTTTCGTCGCTCTTTCGACTCGAATCGCAAAGAGAACAGCGAAAGGACACAACAGCTTGCCGTTTCGAAATACGTTTCACACGCTCGCTCTGTATGCGATCGCTCCGCCATTCCTCTCAAGCCACGTTCCACGCAAACCACGTTCCAAAAGAGGGAGTTTCGTCGTCGATTTAAAAAAAAAAAAAAAAAAGTACAAAAATCATCTTCATCTTCATCTCTTTTGCTCCGCTTGGATTTGGATGGCTCTCCCTTCTTTTTTTTTTTTTTTTCATCCATACTCACACGCACTCTTTCGCGCGCACACAGACGGAGAATAGAATGCATACGCGTGTAGTGGATATATGCGAGTGTGGTGTAAAAAAACGCAACATGTACGATGCAGCGACCGATCGATGATTAAGTTAAAAAAAAAAAAAAAAAAAAAAAAA